TCGCTCATGCTGGGCCGGCGTCAGGCGCACACCACTCAACACCGATCGGCCGGCCTGGGCAAACACACCGCATATTCGGCGAGCTGGCCCCTCCAGTGGCGACGGCAAACAAACGGAGCGGCACTCGGCGGCGGCGGCGGCGGCGCGTCTCGGCCGTCTCGGCGCGCGAGGGGCGACGCCCATGCCCTTTCGCGGTGGACGGGCCGGCGCCGGCTGGACAGCACGCGCCCGACAGCGGACACGATGGCTGGCCTGGCATTGTATGCAAAGCGACGGCGCGACGCCGCTTTTTGCCGCAGCCGGCCGGTGACACGTGACCTCACACGGCGCGACCGGCCGGCGGCGCGGGGCAGCGCTCGGCGGCCGCTCAGCAAGACCTGGCTCACCGGCGGCCGACGGTCCAGCCTGGCGCAGACAGGTGGCGGGGCTGCTGTCGGGAATGCGCCGCATTCGCAGTCACTGCGTCCGAAACGACAAGTAGGCAATCGATTATTCGAACCGGTGGTGTTCCGAATGCCGGACCCCGGCTGGCTCCTGGCGGGCGAAGGATGTGATGTAAAGGCGTGAGCTCTCGGCCGGCTGTCGCCGCGACGCCCCAGCTCCGCGGCGACCGCCGCCGATCGCTGCTGTGACCTCGTTCAGAGTTCCGGTCAGCTGTTGGTCGGCGTGACCCGGTGTGACCCGATGGCGGCGGCGCCCGGGGCGGCCGGCAGCGGTCGGTCGGCGGCGCTCGGCCGCGGAGAAGCCGGCCATCGGCGCTGCGCCGGATTGCACGCCGCTGCAGCCGTGCACCCAGATTATTTAATGCCGTAATTGGCCCTTGGTTAACCCGCCTGCCTTTCCGATATTAATAGCCAGGTAATTTGAGGGCCCCGGGAAGTATTCCTGCATTGTAATTGGGCACAACAAGATGGATGGCCGTGATAGAGTCTGGCCGACCAGCCAACGCTGGCCGATGCTGCACGCCGCCGCAGACGCTGTGACGTCATCGGGAACGTATGACGTCATCGGAGACGCGCCGGCCAGCGAGCGTGCGTGTGCCGGTCCCAGCACTCCGCGTTGTTCATGCTTCGCACGTAACGGCGCGGCGCCAGAGTATTAGCGCCACTCGGCGCAACATTGTTCTGCGCGCGGCGTGGCTGCTCGCCGAATGGCTCGATAATTGTGAGTTATGTCGGCGCCGGCGACCTCCGCTGACCCGCCGACGCCGGCCGCTTTATTTACCATTTTATTGTGGCGTCATTATTTCTGACAAACGCGGCCTGTGTGCCGGTTTCGCCGCTCCGCCGGGCCGCGCTGTCGACGCTTCCGCCGCCGCCGGGCGCGCCGCTCGAGGTGCGGCCGCTGCACGTGCAGCGGCGCCGCCGCCGCCGCCAGATTCGCGCCATTTGTCAGCGGTGTCCCCAAAAGGGCGCGCTCGGCGTCGGACGGCGCGGGAGCTCCGTGAGCGCGCGCCGGTGACGAGGCTGCTGAGTGGCGCTTCTGGCCGTTGGGACCCGCCACGTGGGACTGATGCGGCCCGGTGGTGCTGTCAGGCAGCCGGGCGTTGCATTCACCCGCATGGGAAAGTTTGAACGAGTTTTCGCTATGGTAATGCAAGGAAGGGATGTAATTGAAGATGGGCCGTGAGCCCCCCACCCCCACCCACCGACACACACATACTTCGTCTGATGTTTTTGCGTTCCTGGACATGACCACGGCTTGGATATCTCCGGTCAAGGCAGGGGGATCGTGCGAAAGGCGCTGATATTTTAGTGCCTAAAGTATTTTGCATATACGATAAACTTTATGCCAAATCGTTTTATTTCCGTGCCTTCCCCCCCCCCCGCTCGAGAGCTCCAGGCCGAGGGGGGGGGGGGCGTGGGCGGTCGATGCGAAGGAATTGGTGCAGATGACGACGGTGGCGAGCGCAGTCGCTGCCGGCACCGGCGGTCGCTTAGGTCGGCTCAGACCGCCCGGACGTCGGGACGGTCGTGCCAGCCGCCCGCAGAGGAAGGCAGGGGTCAAAGCGTAAACCGAGAGCTTCATGAAGTGCGGTAATGTTATTAACCCTGTGTGACCTATGGTGCCGAATGGCTCACCTGCTGCCGTTCCAAACGCTACGCTGAGATACGGACGCTAATAAAACATTCCGGCGCCCTTGGTTGTCTTTGGGGCTGTAGTGCGGTAGCAAAGCCGGGCCTGCACGAATGTTGTTACACATGCCGAATGTATGGTGTTTTTACTGCGGTGTTGCAGATAAACTGCGTAGCAGCAATTTTATCGACATAAAACAATGACTGGACATAATCGTTCCCCTTCGATCAGCTGAACGTTTATTGACATCTTCCGTCCGTTTGAGCCTTTCCATTTAATCGCGTCGGTGTTTCGCCAGCCGCAGTTTTGGCCGCGTTCGAAAGTTTTCATCGTCTTTCCCGCCGCCCAATCGTTTCGTGCGGAATCAAATTTTGCTCGAAGAATGAGCTCGCCCGCCGGTCTCCCACAGCCGCAAAGAAGACTGGCATCGATTGGGCCCGCCTCCCGCCGATGCTGAATGCGGTGCGCCCGTGGGGAGCCAAAATCGATGCACCGACGCAAATTGCTCGTTATGAAATCACTAATTGTACGATGAGGGGACGTCGGCGTGGCGCGGTCCTTACTCCTCTTGTGTGGGCACACGCGGCGTGGCGCCGGCCACTCTGGCAGACAGGCTGCGGTCGCGGGCACCCACGCGGCCAAGAGGCTCCCGCAAGATCAATAACGCTTCACAATCAAACGATCATTACGCGGGCGGCGGCGCGGCTCGGCCGGGCGCGGCGAGCACACACACGTGCGTCGCTCTTGGCGCGTCCCCGGTGCCATTCTGTTGGCACGTGCGCGCCGCCGGGGCCGGACAGGCGGTGCCGGCGCGCAGCCAGCCGCGCCGCCCGCCGGCGGGACGCTGATGGGGCGTGCGGTTGCCACGACGCCGCCTGCTGACGGGCTCGTCGCTCATTAGCCGACGGGCGTATGGCAGTGCCAGCGCGGGAGAGCGCCGTCCCCGCGCGTCGCGCGTCCTCGCCGCCGCAGTAAAACGTCCCCCGGGCTTTTAGCCGGGCAAGGGGGACAGCGCGCATCGGAACTGGATTACGCATCCGATCGCGGTGCATGGGGCCATCGTGGCGCGGCGCCGGCCGGCGACGCTGCGCCGGGTTGGCGAGGGGCGCCGGAGCGATGGCCCGCTTGGGAGCTGGAGTGGCTGCAGGCGGCCGTGAGTCACACGGCGCGGCGCGGGGGAAGCGCGAGGAAGGGGCACCCCCGGCGCGCCGGACGGTGGGGTTTGTCGCTCGTTAGCGGGGACAATTTAACGCGACGCTCCTCCGCGCCAGATAAATCGCCGCCGCCTGATATTGAGAGGGGGCGGCCGCCCATAACTCTGATTAAAGACTGATATTGTGCAGTTCTGACAGGTCTGGCGGTGGGCTCGTGTGCGCGTTCGCCCCCAAACGCTGCCGAGCTGGCTGGGCTGGCTTTCAGGGGCTCGACGTCGCACAGCCGGCCTATGGAGAATAGCACAGCCGCTGAATATGTTGGACGATCCGCTGGGATCCGCGAAAGCTGTTCATTAGCCCTTTCACAAAATGCGGGCCTACGTTTTATCCGCTCGCGGGGAGGGTTTTATCTGATCCATCGTGCGTTTCCTGACTGATGGCTTACTTGGTGGGGGTCGCGTCGCCCTCGTCGTCGCGTCGCCCTGTCCCCCCAAACGCTGTCGTTTGAGCTGCGCGGAGGAACAGTCTGTAGGGGCGTGTAGGACCGTTAACCCAACGTGAAAGTGTCAACCAGCGTGCTCTCAGCGTAGGTGGTCACGTTGGTCTCAGGTTCCAACAGTTGTGAGCAGTGGGATGAGATTATGCTTCACCTGAACAGCTTCTATTGCGTCCTGCGTAGTTACTAAGATTTCTCGTTATTTAGATAGCATCTTTGGTCACCCGACCTTGAATAATTAGAGAGACTAGATTTTCTGAGAATAATTAGAGTTTCTGAGTTCCAGTCTGATCAAATACATCGATTAACGACGGCCTGTTTGTTAGACATATTTGTGCAAGCAGTTCTAAATTCGCCGAAGCTCGCACAGATCCGGGCCACGCAACGTTCTTTGAACAACTTTGACATCCGTGCGGCATGCGCGATGAGGGGCTCTGATTGCCCCCAGAAGCACTCAACTTTAAACGTGAAATAAAAGTGGACGGCTCGCCTGACCGTCTTCCCAGGGCTAACAAGGTTTCCGTGCCCGGAAACCGCCTTTATTTGTGAAACGTGTCACATAACCCGCGTCCCGCAGCAGCCCGCATCCACTTTTCATAGCCAAACTATCTGTCTCCGATTTTACGACGGCCGTAAAGCGCATTTCGGAGTCGTCTGGCGGCGATTCGGCCCGATGCCGGTCGTCGCCGGCGCGTAACAGGCGTCGCCGTGTTGTGTGCCGGCGGCGGCGACGGCAGCGGCGGCGGCCAGGTCTTTGACCGGCGATCGGCGCCGCCGCCACCGCCGGCCGCGGTATCGACTGTCGCCGCCCCCGCGCCCGCTCCCGGCCGCGCCTCCCGCGGGGGTCGTAAACGGTGACAGGTGATGGCGATATGAGGGCCGGGCGATTGACATTGCGACGTGCTGCGCCGTCGACATGGAAACCGTTTTACAGACGGCCGGCCTGGGCACGGCCGCCAAGCAGGTGGAGATTCGTTATGGAAGCCAAATGGATCTGGTTTTTGTCCGCGGATAAAACATTTGTTTTTCCGTGCGGGGCTTGAGCATCGTTGACTGAACAGACGTTAAGTGGTTTGATTTGGCTGGTATAGCAGATTGGATGCATCCCAGCTGATGCTGAACGTCACTAATTACAAACGTGAGCGACCTCAGACCGTGGCGTGCTCTGCGGGCTTCGTAATCATCAAACAACATATCCGTGACCTTTCCCCGTGACGGCCTCGCCCGGCGCCGCCCTGACCCCGGCGCTAACGACCGGTCCCTGTCTCCGGCAGTGGGTGGAGGAAAGCTTCACCAACTTCGAGAAGGGTATCAACTGGCGCTCGTACGTGGTCTGCGACGTCGCCTACCAGAACGTCAACAACTGGCTGTGGACGCCGTTCATCGAGCGCGGTGAGGCCGAACGCATCTACATCGAGCTCAAGTTCTCGATGCGCGACTGCTCGCTGTTCCCGGGCACGGCACTCAGCTGCAAGGAGACGTTCAGTCTGCTCTACTATGAGTTCGACGCGGCGACGCGCGAGCCGCCGCCCTGGGAGCCGGAGAGCTACCGGCTCATCGACCGCATCGCCGCCGACCAGGGCCGCTCCACGTCCAGCCAGCAGCAGGTGATCAACGTCGAGACGCGCTCCATCCCCGTCACCAAGAAGGGCGTCTACTTCGCCGTGCGCGACCAGGGTGCGTGCATCTCGCTGCTGGCTGTGCGCGTCTACTACCAGACGTGCCCCAACGTCACCGCCGGCTTCGCATTCTTCCCGGCCACGCCCACCGGCCGCGAGGAGACCATGATCAAGACGGCGCGCGGCACGTGCGTGGCCAACGCAGTGCGCCAGGACGACTCCAAGGTGCCAAAGTACATCTGCAAGGGCAACGGCGAGTGGGAGCTGCTGGACGGCGGCTGCCTCTGCAAGCCTGGCTTCGAGTCCAACATGGAGGAGCAGAGCTGCCAAGGTGAGTCCAGCGCAGGTCTAGCCCTGTGTCGCTCTGGTCTGGTTTGGTCTGGCCCTGTGTCGTTCTGGTCTGGTCCGGCCTGGTCTGGTCTGGTCTGGTCTGGTTTGGCCTGGTCTGGGCTTGTCTGTCCCTGAAATGGTCTGCAGACGAGGTGTATCACGTCGGAATCCGCATTTGTGGTTGATGACTTTGGCAACTGCGGGAGAGTTCCGCCCTTCAGTAGAAATTGGTCGAGATGTCTGTGTATGTACGATGCTGTGCTGTGCATGCCGCCCTATTTCTGACCGATGGATCGAGATGAGTGCTGAGTCAGCGAGGCGGTTCATCGCGTGTGCTGGCGGGTGGTGTGCGGCGACTGGTGCATGTTCGTGACCGCAGACGGGCTCATCTCCGCTAACATCACTCAGCCTGTCCTCGACTGCATGCCTCCTGGCGCCGTGCTGTGTTTCTGTGACCTGGCGCCTCGGCGGGCGCGGGGGCGCGGGTGACTGGTGACGGGCCGCTTGGGCGAGAAGGAGGTGTCGCCGGCCAATCCGCCACACCCCGCCTCCGACGCCCGCCCGTGGCAACTTGCGCTCTGCCGTCGTCGGATGGTTCAGATGGGCTGGGCTTTGCGGCATTTCTGGCGGCCGACGCGACCGGCCCATTCCAGACGTTCGGCGGGGCTGGTCAGGTCGGCATAGCAGTGTCCGCGGGTGGCGTCCCCCGCACATGTGACCACTGCACACACATCAGAAAATGTCCACGCTTTTGGCACTGCCACGCATCTAACGCACTCCGCTTCGCGGTACTGCAGCACATGACGTTTGCCGTCGATACCGATACCGCCCACATTTGCTGTGCTGCCACACTTGCGACACTGCCCTCATTTGCAGCGCTCCCACACAGCAACACTGTCCACATTCGCGACAGTGTCATACAGACCATACCGCTGACGTTTGCGATAGCGTCCACCATTGCGACGCCGCGGCACCAGTTGTGCCCGTGGCTCGCCGTGGTCAGCGACCCGACGCACCGCGCAACTCTGGCGACAAAACGACGATACCTCGGAACGGAGGCGCCCGGCCGGCCAGATCGCCGCCCGCCGGCCTCGGTTCCGGTGCGCCTCACACGGCCGCCGGCCGCGCGCGCGGACCATCGGAGCAGCGCGACAGGGCGACGCGCCGCGTGCCGTTTTGTGCTCGGCCGGCGGCCGGCAGCCGGGCCGCGGTCCGCACGCCAGATACTCACCGCCGATAGCGGTGTTTTTACGACGGCTGCCGAAGTTGGTGGCGATCGAAGGAGTCGATGCGGAGCAGGATGCACGCGGCTATTTCGGTGGGAGGGGCGCGCCGCCGTCTTGCCACTGAAGCCACTCTTTGTGCAGGCGTTTCGACGAGCTCGCCGCAGAAAAGTGTCCCGAATTATTTATCTTCTGTCCGCTTGCTATGGGCGAAGACTCCGTGGTGAGCTTCAACATCGCGCCTATCTATGAAGCTGCTTGTGAATCGGTTGCCAATAGTCAACCCCGACAGCCGCGTCGATAAACAGGCAATAGCGTGGACCGCTGAGCGCGCCCGGGCCCCAGCCTGCTCCGGCCGCCTCTCGTCCGGGCCAGCGTGGCGCCCGCTGGCGGCGCTCGCGACACCGGCTCGGAGACGGCCGCTCGCAGGTGACGGTTCGCGCCTGGGCGCCGGCCGTGATACAAATTAATTGTCGCACGCCGCGCAGGATTGGCCGTGATGCGGCGTTTTCGCCGACAAAGCCGCTGCATGGGAATGGTGGTGGACGCTGCACGGCCGCCGCCGGGGATGGTGGTGGGCGAGGTCAGAGCTCCGTGTCGGCCGATGCGGAGGCCGCCGCGGTGGGGTTGGCTGGCTGGCTGGCTGGCTGGCTGGCTGGCTGGCTGGCTGGCTGGCTGGCTGGCTGGCTGGCTGGCTGGCTGGCTGGCTGGCTGTGTGCCTGGCGGGCGGACGGACGGGCTGGCGGACAGCAGACAGACGGACGGACGGTCGCGCTCCGGCCGTTTGCGGCCTTGCGGCGGGTAGAGCCGACGCATGTGAGCGCGCGCGGGGGTGCCGGTCGTTGGTGGCGCCCGGCAGACGCCGGCGGCGCATGATCGGGCGCCGTTAGGTAACCGCAGTGCGGGCGCCGTTTGCCGACACATCCGCTGGGCGTCGGCCGCCGTGTCACGTCGGCGGGTGCTGCTCCGCGCTGAGGTACTGCCGAGCTTGTGGGGATTCTATCCAGTGTGCTGTAGCCGGGTTTCAACTTTGGGTTGCTCACAAGTGCGGTTGCGGTTCTTGTTCTGAACCTCCCTGCGCGCTTTTTCTAAACGGTTTAGATCTTTGGCATTTGGCACTTCGTGTCAGACAATAGCGAGCTTGGGATGGGCCGTCCGTTGTAGGTAGCTTAATGGGGTTCTAGGTGTGTTTTCAAACAGGACGACCTCATATCAAAAGAAACATGGAAAAGTTCGAGTACTTGCTGCGCTGTTTTTGTGCTGCGCTTTCTTTATTTGCTTGCCGCTGTCGCGACTTCCCCGCTTTCGAACCAAACAAGGCAGGCACCACCTGTCGATGTCGCCGCCGCTCGGCCCGGCACTTGCGTGTCCACAGGAGAGGACGTGCATGCTCTCTCCCTCGCTGTCGCCGCCGCTCGGCCCGCTCCTTGCGTGTCCACAGGAGAGGACGTGCGCACTCCCTCCCTCGCTGGCCGGCCGCGTCGCGCCAGATTATCCCATTTCCTCCAGTCATGGGTGGCAATAACTCGTTTGGTATTAATAATTTCCCGGGCCATCCATATCGGAGCGACCGGAGGGGTGGCGAATCGCGGCCGCACGAGGGCGACCGAAGGGGCGGCCGCGGGACGACTGTGCTTCGCGCACCGGTGCAGCGGAGTGTCGTCACGCGGCGCCGCGGCCGCGTCGCCTCAAACGCGGCGCTCGTTGAAATTCAGAGCGGGCGCGCTGCGGTCGGGCGGGAGCGAACCCTTATGTCGGCCCGTGCGCGTGCTGTCGCGGTTAATGTGCACGATCGCGGCGATAGCGAACGGCCGAGCGGTGCAAAACGGGACCGGGCGAGTGGAGCGGCCTCTGACACGGCCGGGCCCCAGACGAGCCCCGGACGAGCCCCGGACGAGCTGCGCCGCGTCGAAACGGCGCACCGGGTAATTCATGGCGCGCATTTGTTCTCGTCGGCCGCCGACGGCCGCAGGCCGCATTGTTCGGCAAATCGAACAATAAAATTAACGGGTTGACGGCGGGGCGGCGTGCGCGGCCGCAGAGCACCGGCGGCCGTGTCGTGCCGCACGGGGCGGCGGGACGCCGCCGACGCGCTGACCCGGCCCGTAATGGGCGGCGACGGTCGGGTCACGTGACGACCGGCGGCGCGGTGCGGCGCGTTTCGTGGAGCACGCAGATAAACGGCGCGCACCGTTAGAAGGCGCCGGCCGGCCGACCGGCACATGGGGCTCGGGGCCTGGCCGCGCCGCCCCGGAGATCGACCGAATTTTTATCCGCTCGCCGAGATTTATACGAAACGTGGAGAGATAGAGATCGTGTCGTAAACTGTGGGATGGTGAATTGACCACCCGTATTCGTTGGGGAGGGGGGAGGGGGTAGGACGCCGCTCGTTTCGGTATCGAGGAGGACGCGGCTGGCGGCCTATCGCACCGCATCGCCCAACCCATTCCGCACCGCGGGTCCTGCCGGCGGCACCGGCGCGTGAGAAAGTCACCGCAGCTTGGGTATGCGCGTCAGGGCCGGACACAGCGGCACCGCGTGCTGGGCCAACGTGGGCGCACGAGCTATGACACAGCGGCTGGTCGGCGGGAGGCACGCGGCCGCGAGGACGTCGTCGGCAGATAGTGTGTCCCGGCGAGGAGGCTGTGATAATGTCACTCAGCCGGTAATTCGGCCGGCGGGGAGGCGCGGGTCGCCGCCGGCGCGTGATGGAGCCGCGCCGGACGCCGCGGCAATCCGACGCTTCCGGGCGCAGCCGCCGCCGACTATCCGGCTAACAGATGGCGGTCATTCCTATTACAATTTCGGGTCTGCCGTCCATCCGGGCTCGGATGGCTGATAATCGGGGCTGGTTGGGAAGCTCTGACATGTTATTGCACGTCCCGGCGGCTGGCCGTAGAGCCCGGATGGGGTGCGCGCCGCGCTGAGCGACGTTCAGCAGCCGCCGGCGGCCGCGGCGCCTCGGGCGAGCCGCTGGACACGGCCCGCGTCCGGCCTGAGCTGAGGTCGGCTCCGGGGACGGCCAACCCGGGCCGGCCAGAGCACGGGCAGTAATAGCTGTGCCCCCGGGGCGGGGCGGCCTGCCCGTCTCGATGTAGAACAGAGAGCCGTGAGCGTCGCTGTAATCGCTACGGTGCGGCGCTGTGGAGAGCGCCGATCCTCTGACGTACGGTATGCGACTGTCTCCTCCATTTGGTCCTGTAATATCGTGATGTCCGTCCCACTCCAGTAGATTTGGTCGCTCTCCATCAGAATCGTTGTATGTCAGTCGTTTAGTCGCAAGGGCGCGTATATTTAGCTTGGATTCGGTTGAGACCTACATATGGCCCGTAATCCATAGGCTTGTTCCAGCGCACCTTGTCCTCAGGTCACCCCATGTCTGTCTCTCGGCCTATCGGCGGACCTGCGCGAGCTCTGTGCTGGCGCTCGGTCGGAGGCGGCGGCGGCGGCGGCGGCGGCGGCGTTGGCGGCTCAGCCGGGTCGCGGCTGGCGCGCAGCTGCTGCTGACCGCGACCGCCGCCTGTCCCCATTCCGGGACGGTAATCAGCCCGGAATGGTCGTCCGGCCGGCCCCGGCCGACCTCCCGAATGATAGCGTCCACTTCGCCAGAATATCAAGCAAAAAGCTGGCTGGTCCAGCCGCGCCTATTAGAGGTGCGCCGACGGATGCGACCGGCGCACGCGAGCGTCCTCACCGCCGCCGCCGCCGTCCCAGCCGCCGCCGCCGCCGCCGCCGCCGCTGACTGGCAGTTTGTCGCAGCGGCCGCGTCGCCGCGCCG